AACACAATCAATGGTTTAGTCATCTAGACCGACCGCCACTCGGCTCACTACGCCGTGCCTGTAACCTGCTTATCCTGCATCTGAGAAGAACAATTGGGGATGAGCACGTATGGAATTCGTGGTACGACTACTACTAGACTCGGTTTATCCGGTGCCTGTAACCTGCTCATTGTCAAATATTCTACCTTCAGACATGGTACGACTACTACTAGACTCACGAACGGTAGCAGCTAAGGAAAGGAATGCTATTTGTCCGTCAGTTATCAAAACCATTTTTCCGAATCAAAAGAAAATGAGGAATTCAATGGACGAAAGCAGAAAACAAAGAAATAGGGCAAAATCTTACCAAATATCAAAGAGAAATTCAAGGGATTTAAAGACAAAACAGAGCAGAAAATAGCGAATCCAACAATTGTGAAAGTAAAACCCTTCAAAATCGAAACTGCAAGGAATTTATAGTTGGCGAATTATAACTGTTGTATAATATGAAAGCGGCGCGTGTAACGGACGTGTCTTTTAAAGACAGGACGTTTTGTCATCCATCATTGATACATATGGACCAATCCCGAATCTACACGTGACCAAAGCATTTCTATCCGTTGCACCCATTAAATGCAGACACGTCTTTTGATGAATCGCCACGTACTCAGAACCCTTACACTTTAATTCCTGACTACATACAAGCCAGTATTTTCACAAAGTGTTCTTAAGTCGGACATACAAGCAGACGTCGGTCTAAACACACATGTCGGAAGAATAACAAATCAGGCCGAATTTGACGAACATAATGGCGACATCAGCAGCCATCTCAGCTCGTATACCTACTAATGTCGGGGGTCTCTCTATTGACAACCGACCTAATTTGCAAAGATTAAATAGAAGAGTTATTAATATTTTCCATAGCTCTTCTTCCAGCTCATTTCATACAACAAACTTGGCTCACCTCGGTACAAGTAAGTTCACGAACCGACTTCACGCATAAGCATGAACCTACTTCACTAATGGCGGTGAACCGGCCTCGCACTAAATAGAAAAAACCGACTTCTCGAACATTCTTTCCTGAAGATTATCCACATAAACCGAAGTCCGAGCTAGCTGAATTCCAAAACAGGTGAGAAGGCGCATGCCCGATTGGGCCACATATTACATTTATAATCATTATTGTCCCCTCATTGCCTTACAGACCGCTTTAATGAAACTGCTCAACATTAAATGCGATATAATCTACCTAGTACGAAAAGTCAAACACACCGTACTATAAATAGCAGAATTTATTATTGTACGGGGATCTTTTTAGGCATATACAAACACAGCTCGGTTATACACAAAAATCGACTTCTTGTACTCAACAAAAATACAGCAATTAAACAAAGTTTACATAACTTCTGCTTTAATTACACCTTGCTATCGTTTATTATCGTTGTTAAATTTCATACAACAACAGTCAATAATCGAATTAATTAATGGGCATTATATCTTAAACATGGAGAGGTAATTCGGGCAATTATTATTGGAGTCTCAAATGTAATTTGGGCTAGGAAAGGGAGTGCAATAATATTATGTTAGTGAACCGTAATATTATTTAAGTAATTGGAGGAGTGGGTCTGGCCCACAGTTAGTCCATTACTTAAAAAGTCATATTCCTATTCTCCTAAGGATCCCTACTGTAGCTCTATATATACATCATTAAGCTCATGATAAGAGAATAGAAGTGCATATATAGACACGCACGGCGTCTCCCTTTCTCTTCTCTCTCTAGATCTCATTCGAGCTTTATCTTCTTCTTGTTGCTCAACCGGTACAAGTTGAAGAGGTGTAAGAGTGATACAGTAGAAGATCCCGAAGGAAACTGAGACATCGTAATCATCTACCGAAGCAGACGAACCTCGAACCGAAGACCGAGATACGCCGACCCCAACCCGCCAGACGACCGCCGCGATGAGCCAAAGCACCGCCGCGACCGACCACCCCGCGCGACACGACCGGCGGCCACCCGATCGCACGCCAACCCGACGCCGCCCGATCCCCGCCATCCGTTCGTGATCCCGGCGATCATCTGACGTGTTGTTCTCGGTCATCCTGAATCCGACATATTCAAAAAAAAAATTAGCCGTAAGTTTTCTACGTCAAACCTTTAGATCCGATACGCATAGGTTTTACGTTTGCTATTGAATTCGTGACTTGAACATAACGAGATCCTCATAGATTCCAACAAAGGTATCTTCGATTCACGTGACCACTCTACCTAGCTATATTAGATTATTTATTATACTTAAAGAAATTTATGATTTTGTTCTGATTTATTGTTTTATATTGGTTCTGGTGTATTTTTAGACTATCTTGCTTCTTGTTGGCAAGGTGTGTCTTGTATTTTTTCTGGTTCTTTATGGCACCATTGGTGTGTTCCTCTTGTGTTTGTTTATTGTATGAGATCAGTTGATTCCCCAGAATGTAAAACTCTTTATTTTGTGCTATGAGATCTTTTCAGGCATCTTTGAAAAAAAAATAAAAAAATTATGACGTTATGTTAAAAATTTAGTTCTTTTCATTTATATTCATTTCTGCATAATAATTATACATTGATTATAATTCTTTTATCAGAGTAAGAACGATAAATATTGAAATGTATTCGTTTTCAAAATTAGAGTGTTGATTTTGGCCCAAATATTGTTCAAGTTCTGTTATTGTTCCTTCAAAATACCATATTTACCATTTAGAAAATCGGGACGTTACAACAACACACAAAGATAACAACTGAAAATACCACTACATGACTAGGACTAGCCGAGTAATCGTAATAGGGGTGAGCATGGGTCGCTACGGTTCTGGAGATTGATAAATCTCCAGAACCGTACCGACCTTCGGAGATCACTAAATTTTGATCTCCAGAACAGTACCACAAATCGGTTCGGTTCGATTCGGAGATTTTTATTTTTCGGTTTGGTTTTCGGGACTATCGGAACGTTTCGGTTCGGTTTGACTCGGTTCGGATACTCGGAGATTTTTTATCACTTTTAAATTTTTTTTGAATGACTACCTAGTTATATTTTATTTTTTATATATATTCTTAAAAAAATCCAACATTCGTCAATACTTCATCATACTAAAGATTTTATTTTTAAATCAACTTTAGAAGTAACCCTAAATTTTAGTTAAGACTAAATTCAACTAACATTGAAAATTTAAAATTCAAACAAAATATAATGCAGTTATATATTAAAGTAATATTTATTTAACCTTCCATACCATGTTAGTTATAAGATAAACTAAGACTATGTATCAACAACTTTAAGTAAAACTTGTTTTTTTTAAATCTTTAACCTTTCATTCCATTTTAATTTTTTTTTTTTTTAACATGAGAAATGCATTTGTAGATCAAATATTACTAAACATGAAATGTAAGTGAATCTTAATTGTTATTACTATATTTTATTTGCATTTTAAAAATTGTCAAATTATATAGAATCAAAGTTGACATAAAACATATTAATAACCCGCATCTATTTTTATAACTCGGTTCTTAGTTTCGGTTCGGTACGGGACAGGACGGTTCGGTTCGGTTCTCGGTACGGATATTTATGAAATATCCAGAACCGTACCAATTATTTTTTCGGTTAAGTTCGGTTCAGAGAAAGTCAAACGGTCAACAGAGATTTTTCGGTTCGGAGTGATTTCGGTTCGGAATTCTCCGAGTCCCATGCTCAGCCCTGAATCGTAAGTAAATATTGGTAAATGCAAATAGCTAGAAGAAACAAAATTAGCTTGCAAGATTTCAAAAAATTGCTTAATTGGAAAATTTCAGATGGAATAACTGTATAATCCACATTATTCTATGTGCATCGCATAATTATCGCTAACTATTCTACAATCCACATTTAACTATTTGAAATACGATTCTTACATTAAATTTCCATGCGGCATATCATAAAAGGGACGTTACATCATTGAGCATGCTCCTAGTTGATGAAGTCAATACTTCACATGCTCTTAAGTGATGATGCCAAATCATTACCCAAAGAAATTGATACAGCATGCTCTTAGTTAACGAAGTCAAATTAGTACACATGCCCTTAACTGATGATGCCAAATTAGAACCCAAAGAAATTGATGCAGCATGCTCTTAGTTAATGAAGTCAAATTAGTACACGTGCTCTTAACTGATGATGCAATAGAACCCAAAGAAAACAATTCTGCCAAGTTTTTTAGTTTCGTTGTGACATGAGCGTACAGGTTCGATACCCCAAAAATAGTTCCCTCGACACGTCCCACCAAGTGCAGTTTACCCGCCATATACTTGTAACTTGTTCTTATCTATAAAATCTAATGACAGGCATTTCAAGCAACAAAGGCATAATCAGAAGCTTGTTCTTATCTATAAAGTCTAATGACAAAAACATTTCAAGCAACAAAGCTAGAGTGAGAAGGTTTCAATGTCTACAGCTAAGAGAGATTACACATATCAAAAGAGATGGCCAAGCCATCACTCTCAACATTCCAAAATCCCCAAACTACTTGCGAGAAAAAATTGTCAAACTTGCTTTCCTCAGACTTCTGACCTGGTTTCAAAGCAGGTATACAAGACAAAAAATATGCAATTCCAACACCAAACTAGTCAAGGGCAGTGAGCCTTTCACAATGCACACCATGTGTCATCCACCAAATTCCCACTTCTGAAAGCAAGAAACTTTTGACACATACACAACAGTCTACTAAGACAACTTGTAATACCAAGCACTAGACAAACAGTAGATATATACGAAAGCAAAATGTAAATCCAAGAGGCTACAAACACCTTAAAAACAACAATCTCAGGTACCAATTTCACAAGCACTGAAAAGGTGTTACCTTAGGGAAGTCACATTACCCAAATCAAAGAAAGAAATAACTACAGCATTTGATTTAAAATAGCAGAGTATTGAAAAGACTGCCTCTTCTCTTGCACGCGACCGTTTTTATGAACCGAGAAAACCCACAAGTCCAAGGACATAAGACAACTCAGCTCAAGAGTCATTCAGGGAAGACTCTGGTACATACGGGGAAGCCTTTGGTTTGTACCGAAGAAGATTATGTTGGGCAGCTAAAGCCTCATCTTTAGGGCATTCATAGGTGCAGTGCTTTGTAAAGCTGCGGCAAATAATACAGTACTTTCGGGCGAGCGCTGCTATCTTCCTGCCACATGCGTTACAAACCCATTTGTCGACATCAAAGGAAGAGTAACCCACACAACAAGGACAGGCTATCTCGAAGTATTCCCGGTTAAAGTCCGCCCCACGAGGGTAAGAAGAGCATACGTAAGGACACTGACTGAAGCCATGAGTATTGTAGCAAATACGACAAGGCTCAGGAGAGTCCGCATGGCACTCGCTGCTAGACTTCTTAAGGGGCGGTGGGCAGTTGGCAATAAGGTCAGCTGTAAAAGGATCTACTTTGTATTCAACGTCCAAATGAAAATACTCTGGGTCGGGCACTGTGAACATAGTCCATTGTCCACTAGGAGGCATCATCTCACCTGTTAACAGGTTCCCAGAATCACCTGGAACTGTAAACCCAAACCAGTCCGGAGAATAAGACTTAACATATTTTGGAGTGTACACCCTCTGGCAAGCAACAGGATCTGGCAATTTCATTTCAATAGTTAGAATAAATCCAAACTGTTAACAGGTTCACTTCATTAGCGCCTGTTTGGCAATTTCATTTCAATAGTTAGAATAAATCCTATGAAACTAGACACAAGTAGACATGAGGTTATCCAAAATAATTGTTCAAGATTAATTCAAGTACTTNAAAACCAACGCGAAGAACTAAAACAATCTCGTTTCAAATCATACGAGATATTTTTTATACCTATAGAAGGTGTACCCAGATTTTCAAACGACAGCGCTGGATTTTCAACATCTAGCCGGGAAATCGCTTTGGAGGAAGACATACTATTTAGGGTTCAGTTATAAGATGAGGACTGATGGATGGAGTTGATAGAGATTGAAAGGGCAGCAGTTCACCCGAGGCCGGGGGTGGTTTGTTGCAAGGGTATATCTATCTATATATAAAAAGATTTACTATTTACCATAAATAATAAGAAGAAAAAGTCAACACATATTAATTATATACTATTTTCAGCTATTTTTTATTTTATGTTTTAATTCACTTTCCAAAAAATCGGTTGGTCAATCGGTTATTTTTTAGCTATTTTTTATTTCATGTTTTAATTCACTTCCCCAAAAATCGATTATTGTGTATCTAATTTATAGGCACGCATAATATATGAGTTTTTAGATCAAAACATAATATACTTTAGATTATATATCATATCTTACTTTATATAATTAAATATTAAAAATGGGTCATATTATAAAATTAGGCATAAACTTTATGTCTTCTCCTTTTTTATTCAAAAAAACTAATTGCAAATAAAATCGAATGCAATATTTAATTGATAATTTAAAATTCTAAATTCCTTACCACTCGATTGCCATAAAATCGAATAATAAATAATCGCATATAATAGATGTAAAATATGACTCATCTACAATTTGAATTGGAAAAAATCAAATCACATATATTTATATAATTGAACAACCTAAAATTAAGGAATTTTTTTCAAATTCCGACAGATCTTGAATTCAATATCAAATCAACTTCATAGTTTCACATAGTTCGGACTTTTTTGAAGTATTCAGAAAATTCAGATATCTCCAAATTTTGATTTCAAATTTCAAATAACTGTTTACTATTATCTTGGAAATAGATAAAATATCCTTTTTTATAAGGAGTCTTTCTAAAGAAGAATTTGATTTACTTCATTCTCTTTGTCATAATTGATGAATTTTTCATGCTATTTTTTTAATAGATACAAGATGAATTTGCTCATCTCGGACTCTATTGCAAATGCCACTATTGTTCTTTGGGACAAAGAATCAGAGATCATAATTGGAAAATCATGTCATCTTTTTATGACAACATGTTCAATAATTTATAGATACTTATATATCATTTTATTAATATTTATGTAAATAAAATAATATTTTATTATAATTTTATTAATATACAGTAAATATAAGTTTTTTAGAATCGGACCCTCATCAAAACAATCAAAGTTATTTTATTATATCATTTGTGGTTTGTTCAGATTTTAATTTATAAACATTTTAATATTTTATAATTACTTAAATATCTAAACAATTTATAAATTCAAATGTTTAAACTAATTGATAAAAAGTTTATAAATCTCTATTTTATTTAAATATGTAATTTTATTTAAAATAATTTTAAATGTAGCAAAATCTATTTAGAAATTGTATCGATCCTACCAGTCCAACCGATCGGTGTTGAAGGATTCGATAGCAAATATTTTATTCAAGCGAACTAGACTGGTTATAAATCGGTTCCCGGTCTATCCAATCGGACTGTGTCCAACTCGGTTTAATTTAAAAATAATAGGTAACTCATGGTTAATGTTTCTTACATATTTAGTTTATAATACAATCGTAATGTTGTTGGTTCGTGCATCGCACGGGCCATGCACTAGTTTGGTAAAAACAGACGAAGACATACTCTGGCCTTGAACTTCCAAATTGGACTATATAAAAATTATTTAAGTTGGGAAAAGTGATCATTTATCTCTTTTCACCTCATTCTCGTTTATTAGGATGGATACGATGGGATAAGGTTGGTTAACCAACCTTATCATATGTTTACCAGGTTGTATAGGGATTAGATTTGTCTGATGTGTGAGTTGTGTGGTAGGTGGGTTCCACATTTTTAAAATGAGTTGGCAGGTTTGTTTTGTCCGCCCAATAAGTCCGGATTTTTTATCCCACCATCTGAACTAGTATGAATCCCGTGCGGTGCACGGGTAAGAAATATTAATTAATATTTATAAATTAAATATGCTCATTATATAATATTTATAAAGTTAAAATATGAAATATACATGTAATGCATTTTACCTATAAAATTTAAATTGTGCAAATTTACATAAAACATGTTTAGTTAAAAAAATAATGAAGTAAAAAAAACAATGGAAAAATGAATTCAAAATAAGTTATTTATTCTTATCTCCTCATCATGAAAGAAAATTTCCAAGTAGTTTTTGTATTCAACAGCAAATTTATTTTCAATTATTCACAACTTCATATGTAGTTTCTTAGTTCTAGTGACTTTGTTGATCAAACCAAATTCGCACTTCATCTTGAATTAAATAAAAGATAAAATCAATACTTAGAATATTAAAAATGAAATCAAATGAAGGATAACAATAAATGATCGAAAAATAACTGAATTTATAAAGGAAAAACAAAGTATAATTTAGTTAAATTCCATAAATATTTTTTATATGAAAAGTATAAAGAAATTGCAATAAATCAATTTAAAAATTGTACAAATTCTTTAGTACACGATTTCTGTAATGTAAAACGTTTACTTTATTTAATACATTATATTTTGCTTTGTTTGACAATTATATTTTTAGTTAATTGTTAATCAAATTCTCATTTAATTTAAAAGCGGTATAATTTTTTTGATTGGATGAAATTCAATTTAGAAATATTCTACTGTTGATCAGTTGGGATGTTACTAAATCCTATTAGTATATTACTTGTTGATCAATTACTGTATGAGATGGACTGATTGTTATGGTATGATTGGGTATCTCATATTTTTTTTCGTTGTGGTTGTTAAGTTGTGTGAATAGTATTGTGTAATTTAATTAAATTGGTCGATTTAATACATATATATACCAAATAATTTGGTATATATATTTATAATGAAGTATCGACCTTCTCCAGATTTTTCTTTCATTAATATCGAGTAAAATGCTTAGCAATATGGAAAAAAAAATATTGAGATACTATTTCTTACCATAAGCCGGTATATTGGATCAATATATAGTATACTAAATAATTATATTTTATACTTTATCAATAAAATACAAAAAATGATAACTACTTTTACCACAAATTAATTGCCCAACGTAGAAAACAAAATAGAGACCCACATTTTTCATAGATAAAAATAAAAAAGACCCAAAAAATAGTTATTAAAAAATAATTGAAAGAAAATTGCAATTAAAACAATTATCTTGGAACAGTTTTATAAAAATTTATAATTGAAAAAATCAACAAAATCTATATGACCTGTGTAATTAGGATATCTTAAAAATGTAAATTTTATATCATTTGATTAATTATCCACAAGTTGAATAATTAAATACACAAAAAATGAATAACATTTATTAAGTAAATTAACAACTTTTTTTTCAAATCGCATAATTGATTATTGTTGTCAATATTTCCATAATTATAGTAATTATTTGCAAAATGAATAAACCAGTTGGATTTACACAATTTGCGTAATTATTCTATATTAAAAATACATTTCATATGGTAACAGAAAAAATAATACATTCCATAAAAGAATTACACGAAAAATATAAAACACTTATTAAATAATAAGTTACACAATTTAGTTGGACTTTTTTAGCAAATCACATAATTAATATTGCATTCGAAATTGACATATTTGGGTAAATCATCCGAAGTAAAATGAGACGCAATTTTTATAAGTGATTATTTGAAATATACTATAAATTGTTAAATTAATTATTCAAAATATTAAATAGATTTTTTTTTGGTGGAAAATATTTACTATTTAAAAAATAATCAAACCTTTATATAATAATAATAATAATAATAATAATAATAATAATAATAATAATAATAATAATAATAATAATAATAAATATTTAATGTACATTAAACTTGAACTACAATGAAGAGATTATTTGAAACATAAGATAAACATTAAATATATTTAAAAAAATCTGCAGGCAATCCTTTATTTAAATGTTTGAATTTAAACTTTTGACTGAAAATTTCAAATTATGCTTGGGCGGGATTTCTAAATTTTTTTAAAAAAGTTACTATGTTTAGTAAATTTTTAGGCGAGAATTCTAATCATTTTTTAGCTACTATTTTAGGATTTATTGGGTTACCTCTTTATATAATAATAGATTCCAATTTTGTCTAAAAAGATGGTTGTGAAATGATATTTATACCCCTGTATGTCAAGAAAATTACATGTATAGTCGTATATAATAAATTTTTGCTGTCTGAATTCTCATCTTCGTGCACGCCTCTTTTGTAAAAAGCACTAGCTATCTCCGCCCGTATTCACGCCCATCATCATCTTCTTCATTTTTTTTTTATTTTATTGGAGTGGACTGTAACATTGTTAACCTCACAGGTGTCAATTGGTTCGTCTCCGGCTGGCCGATATCTGCCTATCTCCGCCCGTAATTGACGGCCACCATTTTCTTCATCCTTGTTTTTTCAATTTTTTTTTTTTTCAAGCAGTGTTCTAACATAGGTCAGGTATCAATTGCTTCTTGCTCGACAATTTTGCCCAAGCTATATCTGCCACTATTTCACGTGAATATTAAATCTATTCTGTGCTCCTCCATTTTATTTTTATTTTTTTTTTATTTTTTTTCTTTGTGCGATTGTTATATATCTGATGTGATGATTTACAAAGTTTTGGAATTGTATCAAATCTGTTCTGCGCTCGACGAATTTAGGGCAAAGAAAGGGGGAAAAGTGCTCATTGAAGACATCTTACAATTTTTAGTGGAAAGATAAAGAGGGTAAAATTGACATTCCATGATTTATCACATCATGCAAAATAGGTTAGTAAACATAGGATGTGATTCAAAAAATTAAGGACTAAAAATGACAAATGCTGACTCAATGGACAAATAGTCTTATCCCACCATATCCCTATCAGCCTAGTAAACGAGCCCTTACTTATCTTGATGGATAAGACACTTTTATCCCAACGATATATTTTATCTTGAATTAATCAAGCATTTACTAATAGTTATATAAAATTCTGATTTCAATGAAAAGACAGATATATCCCCTCTTCTTTAAAGAT